CCATGTAAGCTACATCTACTGGAAGTCCTTTGTCTGAATAGCCGGTTACCGTTTCCAGAAATGTCAGCAGGTTAGTGAGGCAGGATCTATTTTTAAAAAATCCATGTTCTATTGATTTTACAAGATTGTTCTCTGTGAGATGTTGTATGATTCCCTCCCATAGGATTCTCTCCATGAGCTTGCAGATGTGTGATGTCAAGCTGATCGGCCGATAGTTTTCTGCCGAGAGCTTTCTGCCTTTTTTTTTAAATGGGGGTAACATTTGCATATTTCCAATCCAGAAGAACTATCCTTTGGTCCAGGGATTTTCTGAAAAGGAATTTCAGTGGTATGCATAGTGCATTTGCCAGTTCCTTTATGATTTTGGATTGAAATCCATCCACACCTGGGGCTTTTGAGTCTTTTAATTTGTCATTGCTCTTCCTGACTGTGTTGCATGCAATGGGTATGTCCCTTAATTCATTCTCTTCACTTCTTCAAACATTTGTGTGGGTGATGGGATGTCGTTCAATCTTTCTAGTGTGAACACTGATGTAAAGTATTCATTAAGAGTGTTTGCTGCCCTTTTATCATCTAATATAACTTGGTTAGGCTCATCTTTTAGGGGTCCTACAGAGTTCTTTGTTTTGATTTTACTTCATATATATGCATAGATTGATTTTGGATCTACCTTTATGTTTTGGGCAAGTTTTCTTTCATAGTTTCTTTTGGTTAATCTGATTTCCTGGGTAGCTGCATTTAATTCCCTTTTATATACACTGTATCTCATAATCCATGATGTTCATCATGGATTTATACCGTCTCCAGAGGTTCCATTTAGTTATTAGTGCTCATTTTACTAGTTGTGTCATCCATCTAGTTCCCTTTCTTTTCTTTCTCCTTTTTGGCACATATCTTTGTACGAGTTCAGTAATGACCTTTTTGAAATTTTTCCATGATGTTTCCATGCTCTGATCACCTATCAGCTCCCTCCATGGGGTGTTTTGCAATTCCTCTCTCGTCCCCTGATAGTTTCCTCGATGGTAATCTAGAAGGTCATCATCTTAGACCTTTACAAGAGTTTCTGTAATTGTATTCTATCTTAGAATATTGTCATCACATGATAGAGTGAGCTTTTTCCCTACTTGAATTAGATTGATCATGCCCTCACTGTTCCAGAATACTTTTACCTCGAGTGGGCTCAACCACAGGCTGTATGAGAAATGAGTCCTGCACCGGGTCTAGAAATTTATCTCCTTCAGCTTGTGATGTTAGATTTACCCAATCCATTCTCTCGTTGTTAAAATCTTCCATTATAAGAGTTTGGGTTTGTGATGCCACACTGATCACATTATGCAGATCAGTGACTTCCTCTGCTGTTGCTGTGTCAGCCCTGTAGCATACTCCCACTGTCAGTATGTTACCATGTTGAGCTAGTATATTGCACCATAAAGACTCTGAGGATCCCATGGTGTTCAGTTCCTTATTGGTGCTTGTATTCAGGTTCTCTTTCACATAAAACAATACACCACCTGCTCTTGCTGTTTTGACCTTTCTGAACAGTGAATGATACCCTGGGAGGAGGAATTTTTCTCTCCTCTCCTCCTATTTCTCTTAATGTCCTCTCGTACCCAAGTTTCACTTAGGCCAATGATGTCTCGAGTCTCGGCCTCAGCATGTGCACACAATGCTTCAAATTTATTCACTAGGCTTCTGACATTAGTGTAGAAGTACTTTAAATTTCTTTTGTTGTTCCTATTGGTCTGAGTGATAGCTTCTAGATTCTGTACATTAGTAAGCTGTTCGTTGTCACTTTGGTTTTGTGCCTGTTCGTCTTCCGAGATAAATAGGGTTAGTTCTGCCTGGCTGGGTGGAGGCTTATGTCCTCTCCTCCATCTATTATCTTGATCACCCGTCCTCTCCTGATCATTAGCTTTGAATTTTTGTATGCATCTAAGTTTCTTAACTCCTTTAGCTTTCCTCATAGTACTGTGTCGTTTTTTTGCTGTTCAACTGTGTGGTCTGGAGAGATATAGACATGGTTATACCCATCAAGATCTTTTAGGTTATCATCGCCTGCTTTCCTGGTGGTCCTTCCAGGTTTTCCTGTTACTGCATAGGTGTACTTCGGTCTCTGATAGGGTTATTGTGTCCTTCCTTTCGTGCTTGTTTCAGGACGTCATCTTATGCCAAATACTGTTGCATCCTATCGTGCGGCGCTGGCGGAGCCGCTCCAGCTTGCGTTCAGTATTGATGTTAAGTCTGCTCCTTTCCGTAAGTTGTCTTGTGCGTTGTTTCACCTCCAGCCTGCTCATGCATTGCCTGAGCCCTCCTGGTCCTTGGACCGGGTGCTCTTTTTCCTCCCTTCTCCTCGGTTTGTAGTGGCCCCTTTGGTTCAGGATTGATTTTCCAAGGCTCTTTTCCTCTTGGCATTCGCCTCCGGGTGTCGGGTCAGGGAGCTTCATGCTCTCCTCCGGCACAGGGGTTTCTGCTCTTTTGGTCCTGGTGGCAGGTTTGTTCAGTTGCAGCCTTCTCCTTCTTTTCTGGTGAAGAATTAGACTGCTGCTTTCTGGAGGGGTCCTTGAGTTGTTGATGCTTGGTTGGTCAGGCCGGGGGTGCATCATGTCTTGTGTCCGGTTGCGGCTGTCCGCCGTTATTTGCGCGACGCGGCATCGGTGGCCGGGGATGCACTTTGGGATGATCCAGTTTCCCGTCTTCTCTGTTCCCAGGCTCGGGTCTTACAGGTCGACCGCAGGATTATTAAGGCTAACCAGCCTGCGGTCTATCGTCGTGCCCATGATGTACGTAAGTTTGCTGTTTTGGCTGCCGTCTTTGGCAACATGTCTTGGGTTGACATTCGAGCACAGGGCTTTTGGAGGTCAAACAGGGTCCTGGCCACTGGCCACATTTTCTGGGTGAGTCCCGGAGGATCCCTGGCATCCCTCCCTCCCTCCCGGTCGGTGGTGTTTTTGCGTATTTTAACATCCAGCCTCAGAAGTGAAGGGTGGATCGCCGGCGTGTGGGTCTGGGGCTTCACCTTCCTCCTTCCAAAAAGGGGGGGGGGGGTAGTGCAGATAACGGCGCGGTGACATGATGATGTCATGTTCGTTTCCTAATTTTCGTTTGGGGAGTTCTGTCCACTTCTTCGGCTTTTGGCAGCAATATTTTCATCAGAATAGGGGTTTGTTTTAAGGCGCCTATCTTTCAGGGTGCCAGATCCGGTCAATGGTAGACATAAAATGCTCCCAACCACACAGGGGTTTCTATAGGCCATTGCTCCTTGTGCCTCTCTTAAGGGGGCCAGGTTCTGGCACATGGTCCCCGGTAGGCAAGAACTCCATGCACATTGACTGATAACAGAAAGTTATACATATACATTCAGCCTGGATAGCTATGGGAAGCCTCCATGGTTCACCCAGAAAATGGCATTTCATTATGTTCAATGCTGGTTTTATAGCTCATATTATCCTAATAATGTTGCTAAACTAAATATATAACTGAAAAATCTATAATATGATATAAATCCAGTATTTGAGTGAAATTTGTTATTGGCTCTCGCTTAAACTTCAGCCTACTGTTGGGTGTATAAATCTAGTTCCTCGGTGTTTGCTGCCCATCCGCCTGCCCAAAACCCGCCCAAATAGCTGCCCATCTGCCTGCCCAAATCCACCCACCCTGCTCGAATAACCATCCACCCACACCACCCACCCAAATAACCACCTGAATAACCGCCCACCCACACTGCTCGCCCAAATAGTCGCCCATCCGCCTGGCCAAATCCACCCACCTGCCCATAGGCCTGCCCAAACCCGTCCACACCGCCTGCCCAAATAGCGGCCCATCCGCCTGCCCAAATCACAAATAGTGTCAGCAGACTGCTTTCGCTGTGTACCTAATGAACCTAATGCCAAGGTGGCTTTTAAAGCTTCTGAGCCATCCATCACTATACACACTTCTGAGTAATTTTCATTGCTTGGTTAAATTCACGTGCCTTTTCTACAAGCAGCCAGCCTGCCATTGGGTTTATCATCACCTCACGCCTCTGTCTGTACCTTATCACTTTCACTTCTAGAGAAATAGTCGAACATTATAGGTTTAGCCATAAGAAGGTAAAAAAACGTATTCTTGCCAATGCCATACTCAGCGCACACGACACTTCTCGGCACTCCGCTCTTTACCTTTTTAATTATTTCAACTTCTCAAATGTCACCACTGACCTCTTTCTTTTAGGTATCCCACTTGTTGATGCTTTCACTGACACAATGTGTGCATTTGAAGCCTGCATGGATGTTCCTAGATTGTGCAGATATATCCAACAAAATTCACGAAATGAACACTCCAGTCTTGGGACAAATCAAAACAGTGGGATCAGTGGGCCATGAATCTGTGATGTCACAGGGTAGAAGGCACTAGAGTGGCACCCGACACGGTCAGGAGGCAAACTAGGCCATCTCCCACCAACAATGGCTCTGGCTTGATTATATATTGGCTGTGTAACTCTTGGACTCTTAACAGAGCACTGTTCTACTCCCTATTGCCTGACTGCATTGATTGTTCCACCTACAGGTGTAAACTTGAACATTTCAGTTTTCAGTATGATCACATGTCTTGCTTTCTTAATGTTCCTCGGAGTAATTTGTCCCTTTATAAAATCTTCGGTGAATCTGATACCACTGATATCGCTTGCCTTTTGTTCTTATATTCGCATCCTGAGTAATATTTAATGCCTTTTGAATATCCGGCTACACAGATGGTGCTACATAGTCTCCCCAACTTTGTGCTTTCTTTGGAAAATTACTTACTTACTTCCTCCTGTGGAATCTAGATTTCATTTTTAGAAATCCAAAATAAGATAAAAACTCTGGTGGGCAGATTTAGTCTGATTATTCATGAAATCGGCTATTTTAAGTTTCAGATTTTCAGGGTACTACTCTATTCAGTGTATATGATGGTTTGTTAAGCAATTTTATCAAAAAAATTAATTTTCTCTTAATAATCATTTATTTTGTTTATTTCCTTAGGGAGACTCAGGAAGTTCTAAGAAGGAAGAGAAACCATGGTATGAACTGTCAGATGAGGAGTCTGACATCTTACTACCTGACCGTCTTACAAGCAAGGTTATAACCAGACACTCATCATCTGAAGATGAGACTGAAGTCTGCTGAAAGTCTGAAACCTGAAGACACACTGCCATAGCTTGGAGATACTGAATTCAAATAAAAAATAAAAAAGGGACATGATTGATGGCAAATATGTTGGCAAAAGTTTATGAAATGTGGCTAGATTCTGCCAAACATTGGTAGAGATGGCAAAGCATGCCACCACACACGTTCGTATCTCCAAGCACATTTCAGTTTAACATCATAAATAATGTGCATTCTGTAGGTAATAATAACAAATTATTATTACAAGATAATTTGTTAATCGTACATACATACTGTATATTAAAGTGGTTTAGTGAAATAAGTACTGTATTGCAAATGTTGATACTGTACCTACTTTAAAGTTATTACAGCAATGTAAATAAAATGTATTAAACCAAATATTATACTGTATTTATATTGCAGGTTAACTATTTCACTTATATTACCTAATACCTATGTTGTATCAATATTTGGCAGTAATATTTGAAAAGATATATTGACATATATTTTCATCATTAGTATTTCTTTTGAAAAAGCTACAGACATATTGTGGTTAGTATTATAAAAATTCACAAATTATCTTTAATATGTGATATGTAACAAAATAGTTTTTGTTCTTCATGATGAAAATCAGTAAAGATTTGTAAAGTCATATACCATGTGCTAGATAGCCATGTGTATATGAAACAATAGCCAAGAGTCTTTCAGTCATCCACCAAAGGTAATTGCAAATCTGCCAAATGCCCCAGTTTGGGGTGAGAAAACTGCAATTTTAAATTGTAGGAAGGAGCAGGGATGATTTGAATTGTTTCTGATAAAATATATTTTTAAAATCAGATACAGTATTTACAGGTAGAAGTGCTTAAATATGTACCTTATTATAGGTACATATCTTAACTTTTTGCTGTAACTTTTAAAACTATGGTAGTAAACTTTGATGACGGTCATATTTAAATGATATGTGAGTTGTCTGAAGCATTCCCATAGAAGGATGCTTTGGACACAAAAAGATAATTCAAACACATAATACAAAGGAACTTAAATGTAAGTGGATTATGTTACCGTATTTGCCAGCGTATAAGACGCACCCTCGCATAGGACGCACCTCTATTTTATAAGGATATTTTATGGAAAAAATATTTTAGTACGTTTCATCATACATTTATTGAAAGCTATTTTAAAGTGGTTTTTTGTACCACAACTCTTACCTCCTCTAAGATCAGCTGTGGTGTAGTTGTTTATATTTTGGGCAAGAGAATTGCTATACAGGATTTGAAACTTGTGTTTCTGGATGTGATGTTTTGTTGCCACATCTGGCCACCAGGGTTGCACACCTGGTGGTGACGCACCATCACAGCACTCTGGTGGTGTTGTCATTCATGCATTACAAATGGCTGACAGGTGGATGAAAGTTGAATATTCCTTTCAAATTTCTATGATAATTTTTCATTTAGATAATGAATAAATGTGTCTTAAGGGGCCGGGTGCACAATTTATCAGCCTTCCTCAAACACACTCAAATTCTTTGTGCATAATTGACATGGTAAATGCTCCAACATTTCCTAATGGATCAACATCATAACATGAACAGAAAATAAAATATAATACAAAATATTAACAAAATTAAAAAAATTTACAATTTCAAATTAGAGTATCTTTTTTTAATAAGTCACCAATTTTTTTTTTTATTTTTTATTCATTATGGACTCAGAATGGCGTATAATGTTCATTTTTCACGGTATAAAATTTAGTTTGATAGTATAGTTTACTGTAAAAAAATAGTCAATGTGGCCTTCAAAATATATGCAAAATTTAGATGCAAAAATGTTTAACCCCCAAAGCTATGGGTTTATGAATAAATGCTACCATAGAAATCTTAGAACTAAGAACGTTGCACATAATATGTAAAAACTCAGCCAAAACAAAATTCAAAGTCACAAGTTCTGCCAACTGTGGCTGAATTACATGTTGACCATTTTCGTTCCAACTTCACATTCTTGGTGTCGGGTATGCATTCTCCAAGATGTAGAAGCTACAACAAAATCAGATTATAAGTAAAGGAGAAAAAATACAAAAATAAAAGCCCCCCAAAATAATTGTTGGACATTGTTGGAACTAACAGATATTGGCACTGGGTAATGTATTTATATGATTATAATAAGATACAGCAATATAACATGCTTATTATTATTTGTGTGAAATTTTGCCCTCCAAGTAGCAATCAACAATCCTAGAAGGCACCAGCTGCATATCCACTTTGTGGACCCACCTTACTACTACTACAGTACTTTTCTTTGTGCATCGGACAGGTGCCTGCATCTTTTAATCACTGCATTATCCATGAGTTCCATTAACTAGTAGGTATTATTATCATCATCAGTACTGATTGCCTTTTTTTTTTTTTTTTTTTTTTTTTTTTTTTTTTTAAATTCTATAAAATCCATTTCTTAACATACTGGGATGAAATTTTCACAACGCTGATGCCAAATACTGTTAGATTTGTTCAACTCTTTTTCACTATATTTCATATTTGAACGAATATTTTTGTGCACCCGGCCCCTTAACGGTAACAAAGTTGTTATTATTATTATTATTAACATCTTTATTGACAAAATTAATTACAATTTTGCCTAATCTGAGGATTTTGATAGTCTTATTAAAGTGAGGATTAACAAAGTTGTTAAATAATGTATATCAGGTGTGGGTTATGTATACTGGGTAAGATGATGTGAGCTTACTTCATAACTACCGATGTATCATAAGTTTGTGATAACTTGGCTTGCTTTCAATATTTTATTATTAGCAAAAAATTTTGTGCCTAGCGAACTTACTCAGTATTCTCGTCTGGCTCCCTAGCCTCAGTCTCCCGTCCGTAATATGGCCGCATTAGATGCAGGCCACTTTTTTATACATTAAAAAAATGTGTCTTATTTGCTGACAAATACGGTAATTAATAAACAAGTATTAATATAAACCAACACATTTACTGTAACAAAAAATACTGCACAGTACAGTACATCTTTACTTCTAAAAGCAAGAAGTTGATTTAAGGTGAAATTAGATATTAATAATTGGTCCCCAAAATTATATATATAATGTGTAAAAGCTTATCTTTAATATTTAAAGTAAAACTCATCTATAGCATGATCCAGTGCCAAGTTGCCTGCTGTTGGAGTTATGTTATCTCCCAAGGTTCAGATTACACGACTCAAGCAGCTGGTGTATAGACACTGGATAATATCCTACTTCAAGCTCAGGAACATATTCCATATAAATAAAAAAGGAACAATATATTTGTGACTAGGAAGTGGCTGGAGATCAGTATTTAATAATAAGTAGAAGGTTGGACTGGACTATTGTTCTAATAATTTCACGAATACTGTACATATGTTAATTTTATACTGTGAAATATATAAAGTCCTGTACCTGAAATTTACACAAAATACAACAAGTAATATTTTTTATTAGAACTTTATGTGAGAAATGTCTGACAAAATTTTAACTAGAAAAATTCTACTATCAGCAGCCTGTGTTGTCATTATGACACATGTATCAATCAACACATTTTTTCTTTAGTGTACATGTTTGAACCATCCCTGCTCTATCCTATTTACCATGTCTTGATCTGTGTATGAAATGTCCTGCTTTTCAGAAAATTTAAGTTAAAATTAAAAAGTATTTCAAAACTTGCATGCATTCAAGGCTTGATTCTGAAGTAATTATTGGTAGTTATTCTTATGTAATTTTCTTTTCTTGTTTGCAATTTAATTTTTGCAATTAATTTTGTTTATTTTGTGACCATACAAAACTACTGTATCAATAAGCCAAAATCAAAAACTTTGTATATTTAAAAAGCAGTGAACAAAAACTTAGTTTTAAAGATGACCAGGAAATACATGCTAAACTGTACTACAAGCCATCTTAAAAAATATTTTCTGAGGTGAGCCTTGTCGGCTCACTGAAGCTACCGAACTGTTATCCATTATATTAGTCTAGATCATCAGTTAATTGGAGTTCTTTGCCTAACAGAAACTACTAGCCAGAACCTGGTTCCCTCAGTGAGGCATAGGGAGCAATGGCTTATGAACACTCCACTTTGTGAGAGTATAGTCACGTCTGCCATTGACCGGGGGTATCACCCAGAAAGGTAAGAGAACCATTACAAACCCCAACTGGTAAAACATTGCAACCCAAAGCCGAATAGAGCCCTAGAACAGAGCCCCCAAGAGGAAACAACAAGCAAAAAATGTCCACTCCACTAGCGTGCCCGCCCATTAGCGACTCCCCCCCCCCTAGAAGGGAGGAGGGGGCCCGCCCTGGCGGCCCAAACGCTGACACTGGCAGTTCATCGACTGATGTCATATAGAGCAGACGTTATCGCTGGCCTCATTCTCCTGTCTGGATTTTACCCTTTGTGGTTGTGCCTGTTGTGTGGTTTTGAGCAGTTGCCTAGTGTTCTAGAGTACTCGGGCTGCATGTGTCTAGGGTTCCCTTCCTTAGGCGCCTAGTAGGTACTGCCCCTGCGTATTCAGAGTTTTCTTCCCTGGGACATTCGTCAATTCACTCCCGTTGAGGTTGGTGTTGCTTGTCATTAACCGCACCCTTGTGGTTCAGCAGAGGTTGTGGGTCTCTCCGTCTGACTCTGGGTAGGGAGTTTTTTGTTGCTTGTTGGAGACCACGGTGTTAGCATAGCTTGCATAATCGCAGCAGCCGTGACTCTCTCTGTCTTCAGGTTGTTTGTGGTGTTTTTTCAAGGGTTTCAGGTTTCTCCTTTTTATTTCCAGGAGGAAGTGTGCCTAGATTCCAATTAGGTTAGCTTAGGTTGTATTGGTGCTCTTCCTCTGGGTTCCTCGAGGTTGCACGCACGGCTTCCTGGGGTTCAGTTTGCCCCGTATTAGACGGGGTTCAACCGGCTTTCACTACACCAGTGCCTGGGCTTCCTGTCGGGATTCCTCCTCCTGCGTGTCCTGGAAAATCCGTTGGGGCTCAGTGTGCCTATGGATGTCTTTCGAGACCCCCTCTCGCCTTGTGCGAGTTTGAGGAATGCGCGTTGCCCTTGTGTCAGGGTGACAATCATCTGTTTTGCCTCTTTGTCGTGCTGCTTGTTGGGTCGGTGACACCTATGACCCAAGAATCCTGCGGGACTTATTCCCCACTTGTCCTCCACGTTACCTGTTCCTCTTTGGAAGATCTTAGGGGTTATCTTGAGATCTTGAGATGATTTCGGGGCTTAGCATGCCCACGGCCAGGCCTCCTCTTTGGTACAGACCCACAGGAAGCAGCCCTTAGCAGCTGTCTAACTCCCAGGTACCTACTTACTGCTAGGTAACAGGTGCATCAGAGGTGAAAGAAACATTTTGCCCATATATCTCTGCCTCCACCGGGGATTGAACCCGAAACCTCAGGACTACGAATCCAAAGTGCTGTCCACTCAGCTGTCAGGGTCAGGCAGCGGCAGGGTTGAAGTTTAGGTTTTTGTTGTTGCCCAGTTAATGGCTCGGAGCTGCCCAGTTTTGGTTTTGGTTTTCGGAATTGAGGCTGTTGGTTGCTTTGACTTTGGTTTTGCCCGCTTCCCCGATTCCTTCCCTGGTGGGCGTGGTTCTCCTGCTCCTCCCTCCCTCCCCGTTCCTGGCTCCCAAACACCATAGGGTTTCGGAGTTGTGGTGGGGTTTAGCTTGGGACAAGTCTTGGGCAGCTACAAGGGGCTGCCCCAAGTATCTCTGATGGGAGATACTGCTGGCTTCTCGGGATTTAGCTCTCCGTGCGGTTCATATCTGGGGAGTGTCCAATGTCTTGGCGGACGGGTTGTCACGGTTTATTCATCTGTCCACGGAATGGACGGTTGACGCTGATACCTTCCGTTGGCTCTGCAGGACGTACGGACTCTTGAACATGGACCTCTTCATGTCGGCGTGGTCTTGGCATCTCCTGGTCTGTGGCGCCCTTCTCCGACTGCGAGGCTGTCGTGATGGACGCCTTTCAGCAGGACTGGTCGAGGTGGGGTTACCTGTACCTCTTTCCCCACGGTCCAGCCGTTGCTTCGAGTTCTGGCTTGGTTAGAGTCCTACTAATGTACAGTAGTCCTTGTGGCCCCTTGGTGGCTGGCCCAGCCTTGGTTCCAGGCGCTGTTTGCACGGTGTGCGAACCTGGGACATTTCTCGCGGCTCCACCTCTTCCAGCAGGTCAGACCAGTCCGGTACACAGATGGTTTGGACTTCTCCTCCTCTGCTTTTCATGTCTGGTCTTTTTGAGGCGGGTTTATCATCATTTGTATGGTGATCAGGTGGCTTCGTTGATGGTGTCCCACCTAAGAACTTCGTCTCGGCGACAGTATGAAGTTTCCTGGCGATCTTTCCGTCATTTACTCTCTCTTCATAGGTTGTCTTCTATTTCTGATCAAGTTCTTGTCCTTTCTGTCTTGGCTTTTTCAAGACAGTCATTTGATGCCTAATGACGTCATTGTGTATTATGCCGCGCTGGCAGAGCAGCTTCAGCTTGCGTTCGGGGTGGATGTCACTTCTGCCCTGTTCTGTAGACTTTCTCGTGCTTTGTTTCACCTCCAGCCTGATCATGTGCTGCCCGAGCTGTCCTGGTCCTTGGACAGTGTGCTCTCTAATCGTTCCTCTCCTCGGTTTGTGGTGGCCCCTCCGGTTCAAGATGGTTTTTCCGAGACTGTTTCTGTTGGCATTGGCCTCTGGGGGTCGGCTTGGGGAGCTGCATGCTTTCCTCCAGCGCAGGGGTTTCTGCTCTTTCAGTCCTTGTGGTAGGTTTGTTCAGTTGCAGTCTTCTCCTTCTTTTCTGGCAAAGAATGAGACGGCTGGTTGACCCATGTCCCAAGGACGAGGGGTCCTTGGGTCATTGATGCTTGGTTGGTCAGGCCAGGAATGCATCATATGTTGTGTCTGGTTGTGGCTCTCCACCGTTATCTGTGCACTTCGGCTTTGGTGGCTGGAGATGCGCTTTGGGTTGATCCGGTTTCCCTCGTTCCCTGTTCCAGGGCTCGGGTCTCCCAGACTGTCCGCGGGGTTATTAATTCTAGCCGGCCTGTGGTCTATCCTTGTGCCCATGACATTAGGAAGTTTACGTGTTTGGCAACATGTCTTGGGCTGATATTCGGGCGTGGGAATTTTGGAGGTTGAACAGGGTCCTGGTCGCCCATTAATTGGTAAACGTTCCTGCTTCTGGGCGTTCCTGTTTTGTTTTGGGTTGCAGGCTGCAGTCAGTTGTCTCGACTTTGCGTTAAGAAGTTTGTGGCGACCCCCTCCCGGGTATGTCCCTCTTTTCCTTATCTTTGGTTATGTAGCTTCAGGGAGCCGAAGGAGCTCCCCACAGAAAACCAGCATTAAATGTAATGAAACGCCATTTTCTGGGTGAGGCCCCCAGAGGCTCCCTGGCAACCCTCCCTCCCTCTGGTTGGCGGTGTTTCACGTTGTTTGATGCTTAGCTTCCAAACTGGAGTGTTGGGTATCCGGCATGGGAAGGCCCAGGGCTCCCCCCCCCTTCCCTCCCTCTGTCGGGGAGGGAACGGATGCACAAACGAGCAGCATGGCAGTGGAGTGTGATGTTTGCTTGTTTCCTTTTTTCCATGGGATTGGAGGGAGTTCTACCTCTGTTCCATTTTTCTTTGTACTTTTCTTACCATATGAGGTTTGTTTTGTTATGCCTACCTTTCTGGGTGCCTAATCCTGGTCATTGGCAGATAAGGAAAACCCCTCAATCACAGGGGTGTTTTCCCATGGCCTTTGCTCCCTGCAACCTCTCTGAAGGGGCCAGGTTCTAGCTCATGGTCCCGGTAGGTCGAACTCCATAAACTAATGCCCCGGTCTAATATATCACACATTAGCCCAATAGCTCCAGGGAGCCTCCAGGGCTCCTCCAGGGCTCGCCAAAAAATGGCGTTTCATTACATTCAACGCTGTTTTTTTGTTTTGTTTTTTATACCAGAACTGACTGTTAGCAACTATGAGGCTATAGTTATGCTGAATTCTAAATACTTAAAAAATGCTGGGCTACATTAAATAATTCCAATGGATAGATAATGCTATACTATACTTAAAAAAACAGTGTGTATAATGAGTTCAAAGGCAAATTTTATTTATTTACATTATTAAAACTATATGGTATTCACAATAATCACTGTGCTGTTTGAACATAAAGTATCTTTGATTACATGCAGGAAAATACATTATGGATATGAACATTAGGCAAAGGAGCTACCATATTTGTGGTACAACTCTGGAACTCTTGGAAAACTAATATTCAGGACTCTCATCCTTTGGTTACAAAATATAAGTAGCAATCTTCCAAACATTGTCATGATTTTAAGTTTAATATTATAAAATATACAGGACAATTTTTAACCTATGACAAATCCTATAATCTTTTGTTTGAATATTGTACAACATGATAATGTAGTAATTTGTATTACAATATTTAAAAGTCAATGTGAATTATTTTAGTAATTATTAGGCAGCTCTATGTATTCTGACAATACTTCTTAAATACTCTAATTCAAAATAATGGGGTTGGCATTATAGATAATCTCAAAGATCAGCAGTGAATTATAAATTATTACACTAGAAAGGAATGTAATGTTCATAAGAATCTGAGACTAGACGATTGCTAGCCTCAAAACTCGTGACATGTTGCTGTTGAAGAAGAGGCTACACAGTCACATTGTGACAAAGCAGTAGACTCAATTCAAGATTAAATACAAATTTAAGTGAGGAGATTTAAAAGAAAATAAGGAATCTATGAGGTGTGAATATGCTTATGCAACACACAAGTGAAACTGAAAGTTGAAGAAAAATTATAAAGGTAGAGTAAAAAAATTATAAAGGTAGCGTATGATGATATGCGATATTTAAGAAATGCCTATCTTTGATGTGGTTTTAGAAGTAGAGACTTCATGAAAGGAATGAGTGGCAAATACCAAACAATATATTAAGAAATTATTTCTATACAGACTGTAAATTGTACTGTTTCTTTCACACATGCAAAATCATAATGTGTGTTTGTGTTTTAAAGAAAAGGAACTTTATGCAAGTTATGTTCACATCTGCAAGCTCAAATGGGGCCTATTTAAGTGTCCAAGTTTGTACTGTATAGTGCCACTCATGAGCTGTATGACGCTTGCACCGGAAAATGACACCATTGTGCTGTACCAAGTATATGCTATACAGTGCCACCCATGTGTTGTACCAAGCTTTTTGACGTACAACACCTATGTGTTGTACCAAATTTGTACTGTATAGTGCTGCTCATGTGCTGTATCAAGTTTATGCTGTGCAGTGTCATGATTGTACTGTGCCAATCCTAAACTCCCAGTGCCCATCAGATTGTGCCAAACTTTATGAGGTCTTTGGGGAATGGTGCTGTGTTTGTTATAGGAGCAATATAGACTTTATATAGTACTGATGATGTATATGCTCAGCCATAGCTTAGAGAAATGTGCAGTGAAAGCCACATACAAATGATCAACTTGCTATATTTTTATATTTTGTTCAATTGATACTCCATAAATCACCCCATACTCTCTTCAATGTAACGTCCTAAGTATAACATGGAAATTTATTTGAGTTCTCTTAGTTCTTATTCATAAAGTTTTATATGCATATTGTGCCATGAAGGTTATTGACATGAGTGTAAATGAGTTAGGGTAGTTGAAAGGATTATATGTCTTATTAGAACTCTTTATTAACAGTAAGAGTTAATGATTCAATACTCACTCTCACAAATTATGCTATACAATATATTAAAAGAACTTATTTCTTGTTAAGAAAAAACTATCTTCTTTATGGTTGTGAAGAACTTCATTTAGTATCTCTAGTTGCATCCACATTAATGTTATGAATTTTTGAAGACAGGATAAGCAGTGCATATAACAACTGTTTGATGTTTCATGTATGACTTTGATGAATTACAAAAAGAAATGGATAAACACTTAATTTTCTTTTCTGTTACAGCCATAATTATTTCTGTCACACTGCATTTCCTTTCACTGCAGTTTGATATTAAATTAATCCTCCAGGTTACAATCTTTAACACCAATCTCTAGCAACACAACCTGCCTCACTACTGCATTTATTGTAACACTCACTATTCAGTATTGTTCAACTCAATACTGTATTGCAGGTACCATAACACTCACTATTCCGTACTGTTCAACTTAACACTGTACTTCTGCTACCATAACATTCACTATTCAGTATTATTCAACTTACGCCTATACTGCAGCTACCGTAACACTCACTATTCCGTATTGTTCAACTCAATACTGTACTGCAACTACCATAGCACTCACTATTCAGTATTGTTCAACTCAATACTGTACTGCAACTACCATAGCACTCACAATTTAATATTATTCAACTCAATATTGTACGGCAGCTACCATAACACTCACTATTCCGTATTCAACTCAATACTGTACAGCAACTACTATAACACTCACTATTCAATATTATTCAACTCATTACTGTACTGCAGCTACCATAACACTCACTATTCTACATTGTTCAATTTAACACTGTACTTCTGCTATCATAACATTCACTATTCAGTATTATTCAACTTACGACTGTACTGCAGCTACCATAACCCTCACTATTCAGTATTGTTCAACTCAATACAAATTAAAACACTTTGGATAATATATTTCAACCCAGCCTCCTATTTAGATAGTACTTTTTGTAATTATGTGAACCATCATACATACATAGACATACTGGACAATTAGTAGAATTTGGTACTACTCTGCAAGCACACAATGTAATGGACCCTATTGTTACCTTGTTACAACTTGTTATAAAGTTTTTGTGTTAGAAAGTTGTTACTTGTTATATTGGTTGTTACAACTTATAAGAATGTGTTACAACTTGGCGAACATTGTAGCAATGTCGTAGTTTTGTTGTGTGTTTGGCTGGTATTCAGTTTACAGTCTGAAAAAATAAAGTTAAAAACCAAACCTAAATATTTCTAGCACATATATGTATAGTACATATATGTACTATATTAGGCATCAGATAGCATGTATTAGGCCTAGGAAGGTTTGGTTTGGTTAAGTTTTCTTTGCAACATCAATACAAAAACTTGTACCGATTTCTACTTTCTAATTGCCTTTTATGTCAATATGTATACAGTGGTCCTCTTTGTTACTATAAGTACTACCTAAATAGGAGGATGGGCTGTATATTTGCATGGTTTAATAATTAATTCCACTAAAATAACTAAAATAATTAGAAAATAGCCATATTACTTCACTCGTTACAAATTATAGTACAAAAGCACGCTGTTGCCAATGACAGCACTTGCCAAGTAGCACAGATACACTAGTCAGTCACAGGGGTTCCAGACTCAGGGACCAAAAACAGTAACTACAATGGCTAAATGTATAATTTGTATTGTATTGGACAAATGTAGGAATTAGATAATACGGTTCTGTACTTGAACACAGCATTATATTCTTACATGGATATCTCTACTTAAACACATGTCTTGTGACATTTAAATTACTCATTATGCTCAGTGGTTTTGCCATTGTGCAGCTTTATTTTATCAGGGTTGTAAGTCAACATTAAAATTAATTTTCTGTTACTTTCCCAATATCATTAGGTTTGCCAACTTCTAATATTCTTTTGGGATATTACTGCACAGCATATTTCCTTCATTCAAACTCACCTCCATTATCCAACTATTCAACTACCTGACCACTTAGCAACCTAATCTGCCAGGAATTTTGTAACCATATGTTTTCCACAGCTTTGTTTTTAAGTGCATGAACTGATCCCAATGGAATTGAATTAAATATGGCTTGCCTTGTTACTTTAAATCCAGTATTGTCTTGCTTTTGTGCCTATTTCCAAAAATGTTAAATTTCTGCTTCAAGTTTTCTATTTAAATATTGTAATCTAATTGGTTTTAGCCCCATAATGTGCTTTCTTTAAATTTTTAAATATTGGTTGGGTTAGGATAATAATTTTCAGGGTTTGGATGATAATTTATGCTAAAACCTTGCCTATCATTGCATCTAATAGAAACTTACTGTTTCTGTTGGATCCCTACACAATGATATTTGGCTTATAACACTAAGAAATTAACTTTATCACATTTAGCTTCAAGAGGGTGGCAACTTATCCTATCCTTCGGGACTAATAATACTTTCCACTCCTTTTCCAATGAGCTTATAAAAACAAATTTTGCTCTAGTATTGGTTTCTAATTCTTTCTCTCTCATCCATTAAAAAGGACTGCATGGTGGCTCTATTTCCATTATTTAATTAATTGTAAGGATATTGCCTTAACCAATATTTCAACATTTCTTTTGGTATTTTTGAAGGTTTGCTATTTTATATCTTATTTTAAATATTTACACACTTA